GAATACAAATAATAATTTAATTTACAATTTTTACACTCCTAGACCTAAATACAGGCTGTGAATAGTGACAATCAATTAATTAGACTAACTTATTATTTAAATTTGGCATTTGGATACTCCTCTTATGATATAGTCATTCATTCATTTAAATGCAAAACATAAAATGAAGAGTTGTCAAAAGAAATCCGTGTGTTTCCATCTAAGCGACTTTAGTGTTACATAACTCATGATGGTTTGATGCATGAACTTTTTAGAATTCTATCCATATATTTGTTTGTTGTTGTTGTTGAAAGAAAGGGGAGTATAGCACAAAACCAAAAACATCTCGTAGGTCCAGGTGACAGATCAGGGGAGAACAGAGACACATACATCAGCAGTTTACATAGTACTACATTGTACAGAAGTGAGTAAAAACTGGGTGTTAACGTCAGGAAGCTGATTGTGACTTTGTGAACTTAGTGAACGTTATAAACAACTGAGATACATGAGACATATAATCTTTAAACAAAATCAAGTTCATCTGGCTCCTTCTCCTGCTTCTAATGCCACTTCCACTGCTCGAGGGTCAAAACAACCAATCAGAGCCAGTATCTTCAGCACGGCTTCGAAGTTTGCAAACACAATGGCTGAGAAACAACCAGCAGCAATAAAAGAACTGCCCATCCCTCCTTTGCCAACAACACGTGTTTTGTGCTACACATGAGTGAACTTCATTAGATTCTATGTCATGGCGCTCGCATCGACGAATGGCAAAAAGGCACGAGGACAAACAGTTGGGAATAACTTTTGAACGGGGGCTGTGGGGTACTAGCCTCTCATCCCACTGTTAGACGTTGTAGCAGCTGCCTCTGAAGTCTGGGGCGCTCTGCCCTAGGCCGCGACACAGAAGAGGGATGTCTTACGGGTTGAAGAGGGACCGCCATCCTACGACGGATGATGTTTCACAGGGCAACTGGCTCCTTCTTCTGGGTTGGTGGGCGGAGTGATACAAAGAGAGAGAGACGCGGAAGGTTTTGCATTGTATGTTCCATAGTTACTGACCGCTGATTTAATAAAAACTTTAATATTTATGAAAACGAGTAATGCTCTGCTTTTAGAGATCACTGATCCAGTGTGTGGGTCTGAAATGCTATTTTTATGTTACTGGATTCCTGCTGAAGTAACTGCAAGTTAAAGGGTAACACATCAAAGTATGTTTCCAGGTGTTGGGTAATGCTTGTGTGAGATAAGTTGTGTAAATATTTTTGTGGCTCCAGAGGGGACTAAGTGAAGTCTGATGAATGTCTTTAACTGATGATCCATTAAGTGTTAAATAATCACATAAACTGATAGTGACATTTCTTAATAGTGAGCAACAGAAATTCATAATACATCCTGCATTAAATCACCATGAGTCATGCATTAGTTATGCATTACCTAAAGGAGACCTATTATGCTTTTCCATATTTTATGACTTATCTACAGTGTTACAATGTTGGATGTTCATGTTAAACATGGCCAAAGCTTCAAATAATGAGGTTAAAGTATTTAAAAGAAATCCCTGTGCGCCAAAACATCAGATTTCCTCCTGTTCTGGAGGAATGCTCTGTTTTGAACTGCTTTTTCTACCAACGGCTCCGTTTGACGACATACGAGCTAGACACGTTTATGTTATATTCATATATTAATGAAATAGTTTTGTTTGAAAATTGCAAGCCACACATAAAAACAAGCAGATGAAAATTCAAGCCATTGCCTCCTCTCAGGCTGCATATGAAGTCCCCTGCCTCTTTGCTCGGGGCATTGCAAATGTGGAAGCCCAGTAAGTGCTGCCTGACAGGCCAGAGTGCTTCTGGTAGTGTTTTGCACACAACACATGAATTATACAGCAAGTATATATGTAGGTACAGTGTTAATGTGTTCAGACACACGTTAACAACTTTTATTCTAACATGCCAACATGTCTCATTATCTTACTTATCCTGTTTCTTCTTCAGCTTTGCCACCCCTCGCGCCTCTAATAAATGACTGCCATTTTGTTTAGTAGTAGTTTCAATGTGTTAGATTTCATGAGGTATGGATTTTAGACTTTTTTGCATTAGCAATTCAGCAAACTGACACAAACACACACACACACACACATACACACACACACACACACTGCCATGCATAACCACACAATAATACAGACCACTCACAGTTATGAGACCACACACACGCAAGCCACAATGATAACAACGACAATGTGAACTTACCCTTGACACAGCAAAGTCTGTAGAAAAGACAAAAAGAGCAAAGATGAATATTTTTCCTTAATTTACCTGGAAACTGAATTTAACTTGAAGCGATACAAACGCTATAGTGCACACACAGTATATACAGTAGTGTCAGTGGTCCCTCCGCGGTCCTCCCCTGTGAGAATGAATGAAGTACTAATGAGATGCCCAAGCTTGGAGGAAAGTGAAGATTTTTTTGTTACAGTAAAAAGTACAAAAATTCTATCATTCAAACAAACAAAGTGAAAATTATTAGCAATATTTTTGGCTGCCTGAATGTAGACACATTGTCTCATTTCATTGATGTAGAGGTAGTGCGTGTGTGAATCATTAATTACAGTCAAAGACCTGGCATCTATAGGTTTCTTCTTCATGTCCTGAATATTCTGGTTAATTACACGCTACACTGCCCTGTGGAGGACATTTTAAAGACCCTCACAGTGGTTTTTACCTTTTGTGCCTGATTATACCTTTTCTCACGACAGTCTCATTCTCCTGTTGGTTTGTCTTTATTTACGTGTGAATTTGATCACTACAGTGTTTTTGCAGTCTATGATATTAGCCACAAACAACCAATAGGCATGCTCCTGGAGCCACAGTGTTTGCTGAAACCGTACGCACAGAATATGTGTGTGTGACAGATCAGATAAAGAAGAGCGGAACTCCAGCTCTTATTTTCTGCCACAGCCTTTTACTTTATCTGCATTGACAGGTTACATGCGTCGTGCCTCCTCAAAAATCTAACTACGTTTGAGCTACAGCGACTATGAACATGCTGCATGGAGACAACGAGTGATTGGTTGTGTTTCTGATGATGGTAGAAAGTGAAAGTAACAGAAATGAGAATACACTACAAACCTTCTGCTCGCTGCAATCATCGCTCTCTATCACAGTAAATGAAAAACAAACATCACCTTTTCAAGTAAATAAACTATTCAGTAATGAGACGAGATGAAATGGAAGATGTATCTCCAGTTCAGAGATTCAGAGTTCAGAGTTCATCTCTAATGTCACAAGTATGATGGCAGGCATTTATGCAAATATTTGTGCACGACACCTGTCAGGTTTACAGACTTACAGATGCAAAACATGCTTTGCAAAGAGAGGCAGAAGGGAATGGGGATAGAGAGAGAGAGAGAAAGGAAAAGAAAAACAAAAGAACTAAACACTAAACACTGACAAAGACTGAGATGCAGACAGTGAAAGAGGGACAGACACAGACATATGCAGTGAGAGGAAACCAGAGCCTCATCCTTCTGGAATCTGACACGTAACCATGGAAACTTCCTCCACACACTCGGGGAGTTCCTTCTTCATTTCTCTCAACACAGTCTTCACCTCCTCTGATGATGCTGTGATAGCTCTCATAACAACACCAGACATCCACAGAAAAGGCTACGATCAACATTTACTGTAACACACCAGCCACAACTATATCAACCACACAGCTGAGTGTTTGAGGGTTTTGTTAGCTTAGTCAGCACTAGTGAGGAGGTCTACATTTACCATGGTTACAAAAAAGATGTTGCGAGATGTCGCCCTTATTAAAGTTTGTAACATGCTGTTATGTGCTGCTATAAAAATCATTTTCCTGATCAATTAAAGTGCATATGCTAATTTATCCATGTCATACCCTGCATGAACAAATGAATCACGCATGCAAACCAAATGTGTCCTCAATTTAGGATGTGTGCATGTTTGAAGGATCCATAATTTACTTTATTCAGCAACTGGCGTATTTAAGCGAAGACCATCTCACAACGTTAACCACGTGTTAGAAAGAATCTGGCTTGGCTTAGCAAAAGATCAGGGACCAAACCCTGATCTCCCAGGTGAAAGGCCTGTAGCTGACCCATTCATCCACTATACCTGCTCCCTTTATGTGCTCTGTTTCCCATGTCACCTGACTTCCTAAATCCTTTCTTTAGTTACCACTGAATTGATCCTGATTACTAAATACAACACATCTTTTTTGTAGCATTTTTTGATTGTCTATTTTTTTTTGCTTTGGTCAAAAAGTAGCACATTAAATCCTCTTAATGTCCATCCATCCATCGTCAACCGCTTATCCCGCATACAGGGTCGCGGGGGGGCCTGGAGCCAATCCCAGCTGACATTGAGGGGTACACCCTGGACAGGCCACCAGTCCATTACAGGGCCACATGTAGACAGACAACCACAATTGATGATTGAAAATGATGGGCAGAACATGCAAACACAACACAGAAAGGCTGGGGCAACCGGGGTTCGAACCCACAACCTTCTTGCTGTGAGGCGACAGTGCTAACAACTGCTCCACCGCACCTCACTTTTATAAATACACTGTGCTTTAATTTCCCCTCAAAGGCCTGACACACCCATGCAGGTGTTTTCATTTATTATTTATTAGACTCTCAATGGAATGAAAAAAGTTGTACCCATGGCATGTACACTAGTTTCGACTAGCATTCCCACAATGCATTGCATTTGAAAGCTGTGTAACAGTCGACATTACAGTCGTGTGACACTGGAATCCCAATTTATTGCTCACTACAGCGCTAGCAGCCCCAGTAATTTGAACAAAAAGTGCTTATATGTGTTAATGTTCCACTTCTCACCTTTGTTGTCGGCCTTCAGCTCCTCCTGCAGGAAGTCGCTCTGCCGGTTGCCAAGCACGAACGCCAGGAAGGAGAGGATGAGGGCATCCAGGATACCAATGATAGCCAGGATGTAGGCCCAGCGCACCGAGCAGTTGCCAAGGGTGTACTTCGCTGTGTCCTCTCCGCACATGTCCCGGATCACCTCGGAGTCCCAGCCATTCGGGAAGATCATACAGCCGAGTACCAAACACACAGCTGGAGGGGAAAAGGAGTGGATGAGAGTTGTGAGTAGAGAGCCTGACAAATGAATATTAAATGAATATCAGATGGTGCATGTGATTACGTTCAGAGTGATGGGTCAAGGTGATGTTCCATTGCAAAGCAGCACAGGAAAGAAAATCGATATGGGAAGAGGGCTGAGTTGTAGAACAAAGCAAGATTGAAAGTCAGGGCAATGAAACAGGGGGATAAGGCAGGTTTGGAGACAAAATCGGTGCAAAACAGCGGTCTGGGCAGAGGGTTGCATGAAGTTAACAAGATCAAAGTGAGAGAAAAGGTGGAAGCACAGGAGAGAACACAGAATATTATTTCTCTTTTAACTCTAGGTTGGAAGTCTGATGCAGTGGTATTTCCAGTATCAAAACTCATCACCGCTGCTGGGTCTGGAAGTGTTTTTGCCCATTGTGTATTCCCATTTCATTTTTCTGAACATAGAACACTGGACTCACTCCTAATGCTACAACCCTGTAGGTTTATGTTATGACCAACAGATTTAGTTATTTCAGCTTCGTCTCTGAAAAATCATGTTATTTTCTGTCATTCTAGGATGGCAGAAGCATTTAAAATACTATAATACTTATGAATTTGTGAACAAAACACAAAACCACGGTTACTGAATTCATCCAACATTGATCCACAATCCAAAACAAAATTGATTTAAATTTGCAGAATGTCTTTTCAGTTTTCAGCGTAATCTTTAGCTTCCACTCATGGTTGTATAGCCAGCTATGACGTCACCGAGGTCTGGACCTTTGTAAATATATGTATAGCCAATATCAATAAAACAAAATTCTACTATAACCCATTAAAAACACGATCAAGACTTTGTGGACACAGCTGATTACACCCCTTATGTCAACTTGAAAAACTGTCCAGACTTGGACACATGAAGAACTCTGTTCACGGGCAGGGTTTGGGCGATACCATTTCCCTTGAATAGCGTATAAGAGAAATATGTGTATTGTCAAATTGATAATAGCATGTACCATCATTGTAGCAAAATTGTAAAAAAAAATAACAAATCCTAATTTTAAATCCATCCATCATCAACCGCTTATCCTGCTTACTGGGGGGCTGGAGCCAATCCCAGCTGACATTGGGCGAAAGGCGGGGTACACCCTGGACAGGTTGCCAGGCCATTGCAGGGCCACACATAGACAAACAACCAGGCACACTCACACCTTATTTAGGGTCACCATTTAACCTAGCCTGCATGTCTTTGGATGGTGGGAGGAAGCCAGAGAGAACCCACACAGACACGGGGAGAACATGCAAACTCCACACAGAAAGGCTGGGGCAACTGTGAGGCGACAGTGCTAACCACTGCACCCTAATTTTGAATGTTTTTTTTTATATTAATATTTTTTATATCTGATTTCCAGTATCTCCCTTATTTGGTGACTTGGTTCGCATGCTCTCCAGTCAGGAGAAAGCTACGTTGAGAGAAGGTATTAGTCTAATTTCCTTCTTAAAAAAAGGTTAACACAACGTAAATTAGATGGGGCTGTGATGAGACGCTCAACAAGACACTATACTGGGTTCACCAGATCAAGACAAGACAAGATTACACTACTTTTAAGAAATCTTCAATGCTGAATTACAGTAGATGAACATTTTGAGCATTAAAAACTTAATATTTTTATTTACATAAAGGGAAACACAAAATTCAGGTGGCAGGCGAAAATTCTAAATATAATGCAGTAAGACTCTCAGGCTTTTACATCTGTTTCTCCTGCAGATCAACCTTTCTCACGTAATATAATCCCTGCTGAGTCAGCACACGTGCAAGCTGATTTAGTCTTCCCTACGCTTTGTGTCTTTGTTTGGGGAAGAAACCTCTTTAAATGTGCACGTGGTACCTTTACACATTAATGATAAATTAATTAATTTTAATTCAGTTAGAATCTCCTGGACTTTAATAGCTCCAGTGTTTCAGCAGGTTTTCTGCTCATGTTCAAAACTTTCTGCACATTCACAATCTCTCCCACATATCTGTGTTCTCTGACATGTCCAGATATAACGAGACTACCTTCATTATTTAATGAGTATTCATAAAAGTCTACCTGTGCATTATGTTATTGCTCTGCTGAGCATGATAGTCCGTCCCATTTTGTCTGTGTGCAAAGTTTTGAACTGGAGTCAGGGCATAGTTGATCTAGCTTAGCATAAAGATTAGAAGCAGGGGGGGAAAAGTGTGAAAAGAATAAAAATACAAGCACATCTAAAGCGCACAAATGTGATATCAACTTGTTGTTTAATTCATAGATGAAAAGAAATGCAGAAACATCAATTAGTGATTTTAGGAGGAGTTGTGTCTTGTTGCTATAGCATCTCGTTGAAGAGCAGAAGCAATGTACTGGGTCCAAAAATAACAACGGCCAATTGATTGCTGTTTTGTTTCTAAGTTATTAAATGGGGTGGGTTTTCACCCACTGGCCTAGTGTCTGACCCAAACTGCTCAGATATTTACATCCCAAAAAGTAGGAGCATCCGAAAAGGGTCCCATATTATGCATATTTTCATGCTCATACTTTTATTTTAGTTGTCTATTCGAAAACGTTTACATGCTTTAACGTTCACAAAACACATCATTTTTCTCATACTGTCCTCTTCTTCAGTACCTCCATTCACCCTCTGTCTGAGCACACCGTTTTAGCTCCTGTCTCTTTAAGTCCTCCCACTTAAATGCCTACTTTTTTGGATTGGCCAACTTCCCTAAGGCCAGGAGAGGGGCAGGACCTAGCTGGCACAACGCAGAATGAAGTGTGGACATAGGTCTGGCTATGCGTGACTAGAGCTGTGTCTAAAACTAATACTAATGTTATGCTGGGCCCACCGTGCAAATATTTTCCTTGGGCCCGGACAAACGAGCCTTTGATCAAAACCATGGACAGCGGCTGCCCAAACGCCAAATTAATCACAACTACGGCCACAGAATACCCCCAACAGCCGAAATATTTTCAGCTTACACTAACTAATCACAGAGAGACACTATGACGATAAGCATAGAACTGTAGCCATCAAGATAAGCACAGCAACTCGTAAGTCTACAGGCATTATCACACAATAGCAAATAGGCCTATTCATCATTTATCAACACAGTGGCAAAGCAGCCAGAGATGTTACACAGACAGGTTACAGTAAGTGTGCATTTTCCAACATACAAGAGGTAACAATCGCAACTTACATCCCTGATCCTACTCTGAACAGAAAGAAAACCGTCACTCATCCATCACAAGTTCACTCTACGGGCCTTTTTCCTAACAAGATCAAACCGTTGCAAGAAAGATGACGTGAGGATATCCAAGCACGTTTTCGCGCATGACGGTCGCCTCTCACCAGTTACTGTAAATATAATAACAATAATGGTATTATCAAACAAAGGAACACATATTTTATTTGAGTTTTAACTTTTAATTTATGGTTTACATTTAAGTCCCTTTAGCAGACCGCAGTCCAGCACCAACAGCTGAGACAGAGACAGGTTTGATCAAAGTTCATTTTCTAGCGATTTTTCTGTCCACTTTAGAGTCAAAATGTCAGGAAGATATATGGCTTGTAAATAATGGGTCCAGTATTTACTTCTGTGACTATGGGGCGGAGGAATCAGCTATAATCTGTGCTCACATTCACTTCTCTCATTGGAATGAATAAACTTAGGACCTGCTGCTAGTCTCCTAAAGGGGCAGTGGTGAAACCAAGTGGGAATCACTGGATCTGAGAAGTGAGGCAATGGTCTATTATGTTATTATGGTCTCTAGGTTCATGTCTTTAATACAGCAAGATGTTCATTTAGTAAATTATGGTCCCATTTAGAGGAAAATAGACCATATAGCAGAGTATGCTTCATGGTGGGACTACCTGTTGTTGAAAAGTCATTACTATGGCGACCTGTCAGGCTATCAGGCTAGAGTGACTCATACCCACGGCACTGTGCCGTTGAAAAGGCTTATAAGGAGTTGGCTGTTCACTTTCTCTGGTGAGTACATTTTGTTTTAAGCCTGTTGTTCGCTAGACAAAGTTCTCAGCCCAGTTAAAATGATAACGTGAATTACACATGCACCTCGCTAACCGAGCTAGCTAGCTCCACACACAGCCGTTGGCTCCACCGTCTCGTCCAAATATGGTCACGTCCGGTGCCGCTGGTTGCAAAAAATCAACATGGCGGCGGCCTAAAGGCCAAACTGGAGGCTTCAAAACGGCGGTCCACAAACCAAAATCCAAGTATATCAAGCCGATTATTAGGCAGGCGCATCTGTGGGCAGCCTAGTGTTGTCGTGGAACACGTGTTTGACGCGATTCAATTCTTATTACTCCTTTATATTTAATTAAAAACTTTTGATATGTTACTGCCAACTTCGAGAAAAAACCTGAATAAGACACATGACATTCGGCTAATTTGGATCGTAGTTGAAGTTGCATTATCACAGAAGAGTTGCTATCATGTCACAATAAGTAAGCAATAATTTTGCAATTACAGAGTGAATCTGAGACTTTTATTTGTTCTGTTTGTGTGTCTTATATTTGAGAGGGTTATCACTCAATGCAGAGAAATAAGTAATAAAAAAGAGACCAACTGCACTATAGGCTAGTGACAGACTGGCTTTGCTTTGCTAACGGGTAGCTACAGACAGACCCGGTGCTAATACGGCACTGGAACCTTAACGACCGTTATCTACCGCACCGAATATCAACGTGGATTTCTGTGCTTCAGTTTGGTGCAAATAGAGGTTAAAAACCAAGCAAATATTGGCCAAAATAAATCGGCAGCATTAATCGGCCATCGGCCGACCCGGATTTCAAAAGATCGGCATCGGCGTGAAAAAAACCATATCGGTCGACCTCTACTCCCACAGGAAAGGAGTGGGATGGGACAGGAGCGAAAATCAGCTCCTGTGTCACCCTCTAGTTTCAACAGCAGGATGTGTGCGTGCTACAAATTCGCTCCGTTACATTAGTTCTCATAGCTTTTTTAGTCTAATAAATAAAATAAACTTAAAATTTCAAGAAAGGAAATATTCTTATCAAACAGAAAAATACAACCGTACACATTCTGAATTTTCTCTGATTCACCAAACTAATTGAATAACTGAAAACAACCCCAAAGCCTTTAACCCTTTAAAACATACACACAATCACAAGGCAGAGGGTTGATTGATAATAAAGAAATACCAGAAGATGATGGACTCAGGTAAGAAGAAGACAAACACTGAAGGAAACAGAGGACTGGAGAACTGGAGAAAGAGCACCAGAAAATTGACAGACTTTAAAAACATTCAAAATAGTAACCCTGTACTACTACACTACATCTTGTAGACACATACACACATCCCAACCCAACCACACACACACACGCACACACACACACACACACACACACACACACACACACACACACACACACACACACACACACAGCTGTACAGTAGGTTGGTTCCCTCTGATGATTCGGTTAACCATAATGCCTTGGGACATTCTCTCCTCCCCCTCTACACAAACTAATATGCATTCCAAATGTGGGGATGATGCACATAACAATATCAGAGGGAATCAAGTTAGTGCACAATTGGCACATAAATGCTTTTATTCTGTTTTTCTGTGGAGTAACTGTGTCTGTGTATGCTCCCAAAAGGCCTGAACAGTCCTCTGGTGTGTAGAGGTTCCAGCTGAGGCCAGGCTGGCCCTAACAGATGGGTCCCTGAATGCCTCATTTACTCGACCACTGCTCCTGTGGAACGCCGTGCACAGAATAGATGACATTCAGCTGATGTACAGGCTCAGGACATACAGGACTTAAGATTTTGTGGAGAAGAGGAAATCTCCAGTCTCTGAAAGTGATGGGATCTGAGGAGCTGAGTATTTACATGCAGTTTAATGCAAAAGTGGACAGAGATGTCTGTACTCTGTCATTAATGCACTGACGTGGTAGAGGTGAACACCATTATTCTTTATTATTTATCAGAATACCTACGAGTGCATTATTACGGTTGTATCAAGGTGAGATAAATTGGAAGTGTGTCCCTGCCATGTTCATCCTTGTTTAGTGTCTCCTGGAAACAGTTTCTGTTGTTGTCTGTGCTACTTGCATCATGTCTGTATTACTGTAAGCTGTTTTCTGTTTTTGCAACATGTTTTTGGTTGTTTTCTCACTTTGCAGAATTTGTCTGGGGAAGATGCTTTCTTAATTTGCTTGTGTTTTGTCTGTTTGCGTGTGTTTGCATGCCTATTATCAAGTTGCAGTGCATTGTGCTCTCAGGGCCACTGTAGCTATTTCTGCTAATGATTCAAGTCAAAATTGCTTAAATATAAATAGCCTTTTGTTTCTAGGATACATATTACACTCTGTTTTGAGAATATTATTTCTGATAGATAAAGTCCAGTGAAATTGACTAACTTCAATTTGTAATGACTGTGACATATTGATCACAAGAAAGATAATATATAGATTATTACTCTTAAAGAATGGCTAATGTGTGACAACTTTGGAAAGCAGTGATTTAAAGCTACATTAATTCATTTTTTGGTGTCAGACAACATTATCATTCATTTGAACTGCGATGGAAGTATAATTTCTACTCTTCTTTAGCTCTGCTTTGGTCTCCTCCAACTTCTTTGCTGTTAAATAGTTCACTATGTTAACCGACAAGACACTTTGTCTGCTGTATGGTATGCCTTGCAGCAGACAAGTGGCCAGGCAGGTTGTTTACAATGTGATTATCAGAGCTTTTTACACTAAAAACAGCTGACTGGAAACAGGGTTTATGAGTGCCATGAGAATGAACCAAAAGAGTAAAGTTGTGGGCCGTAAAACCAAAACAATGAGCTGAAAGATATTAAACCTACCATGGTAATGGTAATTTGAGCTGGATGAAGTGCAAATAATTAAGGGCGTTGTAGAATCTTGTTATGGGAAATGAGACATATAGATTCTTCTCTATCTTAAAACGGCTTTGCATTCATAAGAAGCATTGCACTTTCTACCAAACAGGAAGTAACGGAGGCACGATGGAAAAACGGACTAGAGAGCAGGCACACAGGTGAGTGCATGCTTTCTGGTATTGTGGGCCTGTTCAGATTTCCAGAACTCCTTCAGCACTGACTGTCACAAGCTGCTGAACATGTCCCACCATTATACAAGTTTAAACTGTGATGCCTCTGTTTTCCCTGGAACACTGAAAACATTTTCTGCAGTGTGCTTTGGAATCAGCCACAACAGGTTTAATGCGGTGTGAAGAGTTTGTGTGTTCCCTGTGGGTCTCCTTCAGTCCTGCCTGGCTGACAGAAGTGAATAAGACTCATTCTTAGTAATTCAACAAGCCTTTAAATCTGTGTCAAGGATGCTGGGAAGGTTACACTTGTCAACACTTCCCCCTACATGTGTTTGTGTGTACATACTGTATGTGTGGATGTGCTCATGTATGTTAGAAAGGATGAATTTAGGATTGTCTGGCTGGCTTTGTAGATCAGCTGGCTGTTGATTGGCTGATTTTGTATACCAGCACTGACTTGATCCAATTTTTGAGGCACGATATCTAGAAGTAGTAGCCTAGCCAGTCGATCTGCCATCTCGTCACACATTGTGGAATTTATTTTCGCCCCCTCTCCTTCAAGGGACTTGACCTAAGGAGAGGTGACCCCTGCTATCACTAAAATCCACTACAGTCTCATGTTTAATTTACCTGTATTTCTATAAATGGATCACTCAATTTGAAAGTGAAGTATTGATGTTTAAATAGCCTACATTACATAATTAAAGAAACCCAGTTAACACTGCTACATTTGCTGAATTATGTTTTTATTGATTAATTATGTTATTATGCCATTTTTACACATAAGGTTTCTGATTGGGTTATTACAACACGTACACATAAGAAAGACTTACTGAATGGTGCATCAACATATCCAAAATAATTAAAACTGAAATAATGAAAAAGGTGTGCATGAACTGCAGGCTATTTGTAAAATTCAGAAACATTCACTCAGAAATATACACCTTTGTACTCTCTCACCACAGGTTGCATTGTCACAAATCACTAAAACACTTAAAACATGTTAGTTCTAAATATGTTAGGGGTTAGGGAAGATGATTCCTGATTCAGATCTGATTACTACCGTGAGAACCAATTTAAATCCTCTGTTGACTTCCAAAGTGACTTTTCCCTTCTTTACATCAATGTTCACAACCGATCAGACTATTATTGCATGTATCAGACCACCCACTTCTAGTTTGTCTGTATTCAATAATGACCTAGCAAATTTTCTCTAAATCTCTAAAATTATCTCTAAAAAGAGAAAAGTGTTATTATCAATACTGTAAACCATAAGACTAATTATTTAATTAAGGACGTTACTGACACAATGAACTCTAATTATTTTCATCCTATGATTTCAGTACCATCCAGAATGACAGAGACCAGCCATCCTGATAGACGGGAGGCCTGAGAGGGGCCTGAAAAGGCAGGTCTAAGGTACTGCATTTGAACCCTTTTGGAACAGACAGGTTAGAAAATTAATATTGTGATTGGTTATATTGTGGTATAGTCAAGAACATCCTAGTAATCCTTTGTAGGATTAAAGTTTTATGTAATGCTCTTCATCCTATGCTTTACCTCAATGCAAATGCCATTCATTGTTACATATTTGGTGTGAAAGATGGATAAGGCCCTGTGCATGGTCAGCATTTGGCAGGTATAATGTTACCCTGGACTCATACGCAAAGTCCACTGAATCCACCTGCGGTGCGTTAAGGCTGTGCTGCGGTTGCCGGAGCTAATCACAGCCATCTAGTAAATGCTTGTAAATCCACCAGATGCGGCTACAGCGCGACCTAGAAGTGGTTCTCTGCTCCGCAGAAAATAGTGCTGCGTTCGAGACTGCTCGGAAGATTTCCTAGTTGAAATGTCCAACTTCCGACCTTAAAGTGTTCCAGGTGCATGATGGTCCATGATGCTGAAAGTGAACAAAAAACATAGTTGACCTTGACAAACTGATGAATGAAGTGTGCATACAATTGAACCCTCAGCAGTGCCCCTGGTGTACCTATATTCAATTTACATGCAGAACAGGTTGTACTATATATCATTTTATGTATTATTTTATTTAAATATAGACAAATATACTTTATGGCTGCAGTCAAAAAGTCAAAACATTTCCTTTCCTAACCACTTTCCCTTGACCTCAATAGAAAACGTCATGAGGTCAAGGAAAGGTCCATCCATCCATCGTCAACCGCTTATCCTGCGTACAGGGTCGCAGGTCAAGGAAAGGTGTGAAGGAGAATTCATAATGACTTAGGAAAAAACAACAAATAAAATCCGACTGATCTTATCTAGGCTGCGTAATTATACAACGGTGGATTTCATTGACTTTGCCCACCGTGATGAAACTCCAATGTTCCGAAGATGGACTACAAAAAGCACATCTTTAACACTTACTGTACTGTTTTATTGCAAGCCATCTAAAGGCGGACAACACGGTGGAAAATATTACTTCATAATAAAGGTTGCAAAAATGCACATTGGATACCTGTCACCAAATAATGGAAATGGTTGTCCCATTGGGAATGCTTGCTCACACTCACCCTCCTACCCACCCATATTTATCAACATGATCCTAATTATTATATGTAACTAATACATTACATTTACTGAGAAGGCCATCTGTGACTGAAGTAAAATTAAGTAATTATATTATTGAAGGCTGGCAATACATTGGCCAAAAATAACTAATGCAAACTGAGCATTTAACGTTAGCCTACATTATTGTTGACAGTTCAAAACATATGCATATTAGCAAGTTAAGGCATAAGACAGAAGAGGCTTAATACCCAATGGTAAATTACTTGATGATCGATGTCCTTTATCCATCATGGTCGATGGAGTTCTTTTTTTTTATTCTAGCAAATTCAAATACAACACTTTATGGCATCTTACAACAATCCGTAACATAAAATATTGTTGAAACAGTATTAGATTACATCAAAGCAAAAGAAACAGGGAAATTATTCAAGGATCACAAATAAGTCCAATAAAGAAAAAAGTTTGCGGCATTGTTTGAGAACAGTGCGTCGCTTTAAGCGTTGCTGCCGCAAGGCATTGTGTGACAGTATTATCTCCTTTCCTTTCATAAAGGATGGTCCAGTGTACGCTATGCTAAATAAGATAAGAAAGGAAGCACTGAAGCACCTTTCCTTAGTTTTTAAACAATTTGACCAGCTCTTATCACGGCTGCCGCTTCAATACTGCCGGGTCACTTCACTCAGGAGCCTTCCTAAGAAAAAAGACTTTTTCGACCGCAGCCCATGTTGTCTTTTATTTTGTAGTTTACCATTTACAAGTTGTGCTTCCATGGAAGCTGCCATTGTTGTGTGACGTCATTCAGCTGTTTCTTTGTGAAGTCGGGGTACATATTTTTAATCCAAGTTCACAAGTTGGAACTCCGACTTGAAGTGGAGTAGTACATTACGAGTTCGGAGTTGCCTGGAACACAGGTATGCCTGGAGCATAGGTAGTCTAGCATCAAGTAGAACAGAGCATACTGAACTGGCCAGGAAGTCAGACACAGAACGGCACAAAATATTTTCACAATAAAACACCTTGTGCAGACTCCCAAACAAACACTGTTAAAACAGACAGAAAAGAAACTATTTACCTACGTAGACTACTTAATTATAGCAGAAGCACAAAAAGCAAGCACTGATTTCCAAATCAACAAAACCTAGACATGTCAGGAGAATCTGGCAGGCAAAATGCTCCCTGTGGGAAATGCAGTTGTGCAGATGATGGAACAAAATGAGGTCACAGAGAGCTGTGAAGAAGGTAGTAGAAGCACTAAAATGACAAATTAACAAGTCAATTACGTGGGGTAGGCTCCACGCTCCGCTGCTGAAACGCTTCCAGTGGATGTTGATGCCGGGCAGAGGACGGAACAAAACTGTGTCGCAGCCGTAATAGCATTCCTATCAGCTGAGGCTGATAGAATGGCTATTAGCTTTCCAGGTATTTCATCATAAACCAAAGTACTCAACAATATAAAATTGTGACCTGATGATGTCACTATTTGAAACATAGGAGACTGAGATATTTCTGTCTGGACCCCAGTGTTGGACCAACAAACACACTAACATTGTTCTCCTTTGAGCAACACTAAAAAATTAGGACACTGTAGTTATCCATGGTTTTCATATTAACCATCTGGGGGGCTTTCCAGTCTACTTGCTGTGAAGGGTTAAGTGTCAGTGTTGTGTTCACAATGGTGGATGGGTCACAGTGGGGGATTGAACCTGGCTCTCTCACACCAAAGGCATGTGTCTTATCCATTGCACCATCGCCGCCACCACCCCCCTTTAGTATACTTTGGGCTCTGTAGGAACCTCACCTCACTGATATCACTGACGCTCAGGCGATGGTTACCAATGATCTTCTGAGCAGTTTTAAAGGAGACCTATTATACTGCTTTTCCAGGTCTATATTGTTGATCTGTGACTCCTGTATAGCAGCTTTGCATGATTCAAAGTTCAAAAATAAAATTTTCTCTCTTATACTGGCTCTTCATGTAGGGCTTCATTTCAGCCTCTGTCTGGA